GCAACGTCTGTATTAAATGAAAATGAGGTTGGCAAGCAGGAAGGACACATCGGTTATAAAAAAAACAAAACATCTCTAAAATTCAGTTTAATTATCAAGATTATAATCCCTGTCTGCATCCTCTTCTAACCTAAATCCTTGTGTCTCTGCCACAGCTATCCTAAAAGTACTAGGTGTCTACAATTGCATGTTGCTACTGTACTTTGTGCCGTTTTATAATTGTTACTTTTAATTTGCAATGTTTTAATGTTTCATCTATTTGTGTGTGTTGTGTTAAGCACATTGAATTGTCTTTGTGTCTGAAAACTTGCTCTAAAAATAAACTTGCCTTGCCTGTAATAAACTGGTATTAACAGAAAATATTTCTATTCCTTTACAAATTCATATTGTTGTGTTTTAATATGCAGGTTCAAATCAGATGATAACAACAGAGCAAATAGACTGTTGTGCGTTGTGATGAGTCAGGCCCTCATGCGAGTCACAAGCCAAGCCCTATGAATAAATACAGATGCATCCAATACAGAACTGGATGTCCCTGAACTTCCCTGTGTTTAAATTACAGGCACTGTATGTCTATCTCATCACTGATAAGAAAAGGAAATATTACAGTTATTCCTCTTGAGGAACGTTAAATACTTTTGGGCTGACTAATTCAATAAGAGATTGACTTTAGCTCTCACAAACCGATGCTGGTATATGTGTCTATTTATCATACATTTTACTGAGCTTTTATGTTTATGTGTTTTTATTGTTTTTATGATACATTTTTATTGTGCATTTTTATTGCAACCCTGCCTACAAGCCTACTTTCCCTTTCAGGACAATAAAAGTTGATGGGCTGAGCCGCAACCAATAAAGCACTTTAAAGTATAAAGCGTTCATGTTAAGTCATAGCAACATAAACAAGATGTCAAGAGCCTCATAAAGTTTGTGGATTTTTCAGCGTACAGTCAGCAAAACTACTGAAATTCTGCTTTAGAAAACCACATTTTTACCCACCAACTGCCCTGTGTAAAGAAGCAGAACCAATCATTTGTTCAACAGAGGTACTGATTTTCATCATGTTAAAATGGCATTTTCTCACCAGAAGAGATTTTGGTCAGTGAAGGAAGAGACAGGTGGGGAGAAGATGATACGAAGGAGATGCAGCACCATGATGGCTCTGAGCTTCACCACACTTGAGCTTGTTTTAATGTGTGAGCTGTTTTTTTGAAGGGGCAAAGTACAGTAGTGCTTGAAATTCTGTTGAAATTCCTGAGTGAGTTAGCAGATCACAACGATGAGAAGCACGAGTCAGAAAACCTTCAACACCTTTGCAAGTTAGCTCATAGTAATGATAATCTCTGAGAAATATCGTAATTCCTCCATAAAGAATCATAAACCTCCACAGTGGCTTAATCTCTGGAGAGCCACACCGGGACTTACTGCTGACACAACACTAAATCACCACACTCTCCCTCTTCCTGCTCTATGTTCAATGGAAAAACATTCTCACTGCTTATACCTCACTTACTACCATTTCTCCCCTATTTGTCTTTTCTTTAACTTGTTTGTCATTTGCAAGTACTACTTATCATTTCCAAATAACCAGCTCAGTCAATACACCATTAATGAGCTCACCATTAGTTCCATTGAAATGTGTATACTGTACTTTTAACCCAAAAGTCTTAGGAAGGACATTAGTTTTATTTGCTTGTTTGTTTTGGTCCATTTGGGTCAGTGAATAAAGTCGTGAGCACTGACAATTTTTAAAAACTGTTATTTGTTCAAGGTAGCCTCCTGTGAGAGTTCACGTCTCTTTTCAAAAAAAGTCCCGAAGCCCTGATCACATTCTCACAGTTCCACACACTCATACCTGGAAGCTGCTCATTACAACCACAGTCTGGCAATTTTATCCATTTAAAAAGTGTGCAAAAAGTGAATGGGTCTGAATGCTTTCCAAAGAGACTGAATGTCATAGGCTTAAGCTGATGCCTAATTTGTATGCTGACATGGTTGTCAGTCATATTTAGAAAGTGTTATTATACTGTTACTTATTTGCTGGGGAAAAAAACAACATTTATATGCACTGAGAAATTCAGTTCTGAGCCACTACTATTTTTGTGCACCCAGAAAGACATTTGATCTGATAAGCTGTAAAAATGGGTTTATATTTGTACTGAGATCCAAAGCTCTGAAAACTATGACTGTATCTTTGGGATTTGATTATTTTGACAAATGCACTGTTACCAACGCTCAAGTTAAAACTTGCACAAATAATAGTTGATATAGGTGATATAATGAAGAGTCTACAGTTATGCGTGGCTCAGTGAGGCTGTAGCACAGCGGTGCTTTGAGCAAGATGCTCTTCTACATGGTAACTTGGTCACAGCGGCAGTGCTAAAACGTTGATTCTTACCAGGTATTACTGGGACAGACTGCCAACAAAAAACAACCCAGGAGTTTGCTGTCAACACAGAATTCCATTCAGTGGAAGATATGACCAGGCACTCATCTGATGACTTGGAAGTGGGATTAACAAGTAAGGCTGAGTTAAGATATTTCATGCTAAACTATTGCACATTCATGCTGAAAGCTTAGTAATGTTCAGTCTGGTCTGGGACTGAGCTTTTTCGCTGATCATAAAGACAGATCTTAAAGGCGCTCTTTCTCCCCCTCACCCACTCCATCCACTAACGTAATGCATACACCCAAACATTTCGATGTCAAAATTATTGTGTTTAGAATGAATTACTGTAGAAGATTTGCTTAAAGGCCAAGCTGGGAATCAAGCTTCCTGCTCTGCTTCAAGTCCTTTTGTCTGCTCACTCCCTCACATGCACTCATGTGGTTTCAGAATCCTCCCTGCAGAAATCCATCACTGTTTGTTGCTCCCCCTCTTCTGCTAAGCATGTGCTCGCTCGCGCGTGCGCACACCCACACACGCACACACACACAGTGTTTCCACGCGCACACCCACACCCACACCCACACACGCACACACACAGTGTTTCCATTACTTCAAGGAACATTATATTGACGTACATTCATATCTTGGAGACTTACCCTAGCCTTGACCACAACCAGTAAATGTGTAACTCTAACCCTCAGCCTAACCTTAAACCAAGTCATTATTCTAAACTGTACACATTCACATTTTAGAGGGTTGCTTTTTGCTCACGCAAGGATGTTAAGTCCCCACAATGTGACTGTGTAAACAGATTTACATCCTCACAACATGAGTAATACCAGAGTTTTATTCAACTGTATGACTGATGCAAAATCTAAAATGCAATGTGAGCTGAGTAAGTTTAGATCAAATTAGAAATTAATTATATTATTTCCTAGAGAGGAAACTAGTTTGCTTGCCCATGACTGTAACAAATAAAGAGAAGCTAGTCAGCAGGTCCCAGTAGAGTATATGGAAGACTCGAGACCACTACCAAAACAATGGTAGTAAAACTGACTACAGTAATGTATGAACAACACATTTTCCAAGAGGACAAGATGACAATATGGCCACTAATCAAACAACAATGTAAATACCATCAATAAATCGATCAATTAAAAGGTCAACCCATAAGTGAAGCACATTTATTAGAGGACTATAAACACCACTGAAGTATACAGTAGTGGTTATTTTGTAATTAATCAGCAATCAGAGCAACTATAACCAACAACTTGGTCATTTATTTGGACAAAGAACATAAACTGCAGCAAGCTCAAAACCAACCTCGTTTCTCGTGATTTCTCAACACCAACTCCCCACACCTAAAAGGGAATAAAAGATCATTGTATCTATTGATGCCTTAGCCTATCCAAGAACATCACTGTGTCCATTTAAAGCCAATCCAGGGATTAAGTCCATACATCACAGCAAGGACAAGATGTGAGGATCAAACATGCAACATCTCCAGCCTGAAATTCAACCATAACCTGTGCTGACCCTTCATAGCGTAGCCTCTCTCGTATCCAAATTCCTATTCTCACCTCGCTATTAGATTCAATCCCTAAACTCTCTTTACCTTATTCTGCAGTAATGTAAAGCTCCAGAAAGAGTCCACATAGCTGTACACTATCTCCCAAGTGATTTCTGTTGGGGGGTGACTGTCAATGCATCTGACAGGATGTATAGTAAATGTTAAGCTAATTGCTGGGCGTTGAAGGAAATTTAAGCACTTATAAGGACACCTGTGATCACACAAACACACACGTCTCACATAGTCAGCCCCTGCACAACCTTGTGATCATCACAGCTTCTGACTGTAACGTTAAAAGTGATAGATGTGTACACAAGACAAAAACAGCTACAGCTCTGTTGGTCTCCAGAGGCTGCAGAATTTGCTACCGTCCATAGTAAGTTTTGGACTGAACCATAAACATAGTGATAATTTTTGCTATAAACTACTTAACTGCTTCTATTGGAGAGTTGTAAAAATTGAAGTCTGTCTTGAGGCTGTCCCAAGTGAAGGTGGTGGGATCATTAAAACCAAAAGATTCATCATTGCTAGTAAATTAAAGCTCCAATCTGCTACAGATTTTGACATCTTGTGGACAATAAAAATTTTGATTGCAGCACTAGAGAAAAGACCACTAGGGTTACAGCACCAAAACATAGAGATTTATCTGTTTATCTACCTTGGAGTCAAAGATACAGAAAATTTTGGAAAACACTATTTGCTTTCTTGTATAAGTTGCCTAAAGCCTGAAAAACGTGATGCTAATTTTATATTAATAAGTATAAAGTTACAGCCCTGAAACAATTAGCTTAGCTTAGCATATGGCTCATTCAGCAACACATTATATCTTGCTCATATTTGTACCATTTGGTCCATTGCACAAATTATCCAACTATTTCTATGAATGAATGATTCGATTTCTGGTAAACAGTCAAGCTGAAAACTTGGAAGCAAAAGAAGATTTTATCTTCCTTTTAATGTTGGTGTGTAATTTAACACATCAGGACCACACAGCAGTATACTAATCATAGACACAAACAAAACAAGCAGACAAGTTCATACCTGTGGTTTTCAACCCGCGTTTCAAAGAGACTTGAAAATCATGAAGGAATTTCCTCCTGGTTCCCTGATGGGTTATCCCCCTTTGTTATCACCCAAGTCTCAGCTTTTACCATCTGTGTGGAGGTGTACAGCTGTGAGATGATCTGCTGGGCATAAAATGTATACAAGAGGGTGAGAATCTTTTGATATATTTGACCTATTTTAAGGTTTTAACCATGACACAAAGGGACATTCAAAAATCATGCACATATGGACAGTGTCCTTTTGATTAAAATGAAAAAAAGTGTCATTTTATAAAAAAACCTCATGCTTGTCCATAATTTCTAAACAATTTCGCAATATTTTGTAAAAAAAAATTACTTTATAAAAGAAAACCCAGAAACCCATACAATTCAGATAACTAGTTTAAAAAAAAAAAACACACAAACCAGATAAAATCTTTTCTCTGGACCAATTTGCTCTTAAACAATACAGTATTTGCTTTTCTTATTTTATTTATTTATTTACATTTTTTAACCATCTTATTGTAACAGTGCTCTATTTGTACATTATATTAGACAAACACACACTCCACCAACAGTCACAGGTGGTGGTAAATATATTTAATCCACACTCTAAATACCTGAAACACTCAAAATGTCAAGCGACTTTGACTGAATACAAAAACACAAAGTGAATTTATTTTAGTTTTGGCTCCTTCTCTGCTGTTTTATAAGCTGCTGATTGAGCCCTGAGAGAGACATGTCGCTGTGTAGTGGAGATAAGACTCCAGGTGCCAGCCATGCTCATCACTGTTTTTGTGTTTCACAGTGTGTGTGTCTCCTCATCCCAGGCATTCCCAGATAAGTGGCTCTCAGGTACCCAACCATGCAATCTGAACCCCCACAAGATCCAGTTCGACGGTACAAAGGAAAAACACGCCTTATCTTCAGAACAGAGCAAAATAAGATTAACAAAGGTAATTTCTTTTCCAGCAACTTGTCAGCTCTCTGCTGTGTGGTAATGTTAATTCGAGGATTGGTAGCTGGACTGAGGTCTGTGGAAAAACCCTCACAAACACCAGATTTCATCAAGTGCGGTTTTCCCCTCACATCATTGTTATATACTCACCTTGTCATAACTAAGATATCATATTTCAGAAATATGAATAAACTTTGATAATAAATTAGTCTCATAAATTATAACCACATAATTATGAGAAGCTTTGTCATACTCATGCCTTAGCATCTGACAGCTACAGTTTAAATGAGAAATAGTATCTCATATTATCATTTAATAACTGTTGAGACTATTTATTATTTTAGAATTATGATACTAAGTCATAATTATCAGATAATACTTCATATAATTAAGTTTCTAATGGCAATGAGATATGTTGTTGTGAAAAAACAACACATTATGAAAAAGAAAAAGGATGGAAATCCAGAGGTGAGACAGTAGATCTAGTCTTCCATACATAATCCTAATTTTAGTCTTTATGTCATGTCAAGGTATGAAGAATCAACTTTGTTCTGTTTTACACAAACCAATATAAAACATAACTTGAACTCTTTGTACAGATCCACACAAACAACACAGATCACTTATCTAACAGGACAAAAATTCATTCATGAAGGCTAAAAAAACAGAACAGCCAGTATCCACATACCATGTCTCACATAAACACACAAACAGACCCAACATTTCTACTTACATTGCTGATAGAAACGCTGCTGTTTCTGCAACTCTATTTCTCAGTATTACTGAGGAAATGACAGGAAGTACAATAGGAAGTGAAGGGTTGCGTGCCTGTGTCGCCTGCCTCTACATGAATTTTGAGCAATATCTTTGAGGCTTCTGAAACTCTACTAAAGGCTACTCTGATGGGCAGGGACTGCGTGTGAATGCCTGTGTTTGTTTAAAAACTGTAGAAGGAAGCAGGTACCACAAGATACAAGTCATGCCTCTGTTGTCGTGAATAAGCGTGTCTGTCTGTGTGGGTGAGTGATCTTATGGCGCATCATGACAAGAGCAGCACTCATAAAACTTTTCATCCTCGTGATCCTCGCCTTTATCATCTGCCTCCCAGAATTCTTCACATTGTACAGAGGTAGGTCATCCAAAACCGATTCAGATTGTGGTTTATCCACTGTCTGTTTTTGTGTGCGTTTGTCTGTGTCCACACGCCTCGTTATCAGGTCACTACCTTTTGAAGCATAAAAAATAGAGGTAGCATTAGTTTTGATCCAGTTTTCATAGATGTTTTGTTCAAGCTTTATATTTAAAGTTGTTAAAAGATTTTTATTTTGTTGAGCAACTTTGTCTCGTTACTTCCCCTTCATGTAAGACTCACTCCGCTTTGTCCTCTCCCTCTCTTTTTTGATAAAAATCAAACCCAAATATAGCTCCATACAAGACTGATAGCTGCTTTTTGAAAATGTGGTGTTGCATCGAAAAGCTTCTATTTTTGACAGCAACATCCTTTAGCCTTTGTACTAGCGCACGTGTTTGCTGTCAGTGGTTTTGCTTTTTGTTTCTCCCATGGCTTCTCTTTTTGGCTCTTTCTTTCAGATACAAACAGGAGGCAACGGTTTCCCTTTTGAGATCTTGCTACAAATTTCTTACTGTTGTTTTAGCACTTTAAGCCTGATCTCACTGAGAAATCCTTCTGAATATTCTGCTGTTCTTTGTTTCTCCCCTTTCAGTATCAAAAGTCAGCTTCCTCTGTCTGCCTTACCAACCCTGTGAGCGAGGTAACCAGGTGAAGAGGGGGGAGCACAAGAAAACCGAGGATGCTGGAAGTATTATATGTGATCCTTCTCAGTGGGTCCAGGCCTGCACACAAGGGGAACAAAGCAACATGACAGATACTGCATCAGACTCCAGGAGAGGCGGTGAAGATCCAGAAAAGAGCTGGTTCATGTGTCAGACAGATACAGACATGGCAAGATTAGACCGCAACATGTCATCTTCAGGTATTGTACGGAGTTTTAAGGACACGTTTTTGTTGTTTGTAGTTTGAAGCATGGCTTCATAGATGGAAACGGTCTGTTAGTTGGTCCACAACTTTGGCTCAGACTGAAATGTCTCAACACAGATTCAAATGACATTTGTTTCAGATTCATGATTCCCAGATGATGAATTCAGACTGAAATGTCTCAACAAATATTGGACAGATTCAAATGACATTTGGTTCAGATTCATGATTCCCAGATGATGAATCCTAAATACTTTGGTGATTCCCTGATTTTTTTTTTCATCTATCCCACTATGCAGTTGGCATTTGTGGTTTTGAGTAAAATATCTCAGCAACTATTGGATAAATTCATCTAAAATTTGGTACAAACATTCATGTTCTTCTCAGGATTACAGTACCTCTCATCACTTTGGTAATGTCTGAAATTTTTTGTCTGTAACACTGTCATCATTTATAAATGGCCAGATACTTCAAAAACTAACTGGTAGCTGCTTCCAGTTTGGATCTGGTTACTGTTCGGAAGCATACCCTGACCACTGCTTTTGCCCATTAATCATCAGCAGATGATTACATACCATGTATGCACTAAATAATTACACACTTACAATAATCTATGGACTGCAACCTAAAGCATTACTGTACATTCTATCTATCCATCCACAGCTGTAAAGATCCATCTGGAAGTGACAGTGGAGCTTCAGCTTGACAGCTCAGAGACCCTGAACGTCACCTTGTATGGCTACAGTAATTACAGTTCCTTGCATCTTTACTTTCCTGAGGAGGAGGAGGAAGAGAAGAACAAGGGTGATGAAGGACACAAGGAGGTTTTTTACTGCTGCCTTCCTGTCCTGACAAGCTCCAAGTCAGCCAGGCAGAGCAGCTGCCTCCTTTGGTTCTCCAATCAAACTTTATTGACTGCTACAACAAAAGAAAAGTTGCGATGGAAATGGGCACATAAAGGTGGGTATCAGGATCAGAGAGCAGTGCTTCTTTGTTCCTGATGTAGCTTTAGTTTAAAAGGATACAATTCAGGGACACTGGCCAATCGGTTTTCATTGAGGTGAAAGTGATTCACCTCATTCAAAACTGCCTTCTCTCTCAGTCCACACTGTCATTTTTTTTCAATAGAACAAATTCCCCTCAGTTCCTGCTCTCTTGGCTCCAATTTCAGTTTCTTTTCTCTTTCTCACTCTGTACTGTACGATCATTTACAGTTTCCAAGGGTTACAGTACAACGTAATGTACTGCACGTCCAAGGCTGTATTGATTTTGGCTTGCTTTTTTCTGTTCGACACTCCCCTATGCTTAAAGCTATGACTATGTAAAATTTTCCAGTGCGCACAAAGAAAATAGGGTATCTATTTCACTTTAAGCTTTCTGTCCCATTTTCACTACATTTTTCCACTTTCTCCCTTCCATTGGTCTGCTCTTATTGCTCCATCTTTATCTCCTGCATTCACTTTTTTTCCCCTCTGTCTCTTGTATATCAATCTTTCTCTTTTCCTCTGATTGTGTTTCCTATCTTGCTTGCTCACCAGTTATATCCCTTTCTGTCTTCTTTTTAGATGATTCTTACTTCTTTTAAAAAATGTTATTTTCAAGTCTCACGACTTTCTATTGCTGAGACAATTAGCTGAATAATTTGTCTACGACTGATTGGGACCAGACAAAAAAAACCATTTCTGTGGCATTCAGTGGTTTGATGGTTAAGGTGAAAAACACAAAACCCCACAGTCCATGTTTTGACACCTTGCTTGTAGACTGTCTCCATGCTATACTTCGAAAAGACCTAAAATTCTCAAGCTCATCTTTAGTTCTGGATAATTATAATTGGCATTTGTACTGTCTCCTGGCACTGTAGATTAAAAAAATAATTTTTAATGGCTTAATTAAACAAAATTTAACATAAGGATTGATAATGAAAACAGTTGTATTTCCAGAATCTTTTTCTGTCTCCAAAATTGGTCTATTTTAATTCCTCTCAGATGAGTGGCGGTGTCTATTCAGGGTGCTCTGGTTGGCTCTCCTGGCTGTGGTGCTCCTGGCTGTAGCTATGACTGTGTTTGGACAGATCTACTTGGGGAGATATGTATACAGTAAGACTAACAAAAACACACAGCACGCACTTATTGGATTAGTTAGATCTTTTGAAGTTGACCTAATAAAGCTTATTTTCTTTGTCAGAAAAGCCAAGTGTGCAACCTGTTGGCTACAGCATCAACAATCAACAGTTAAATGGTAAATTTTAATTTGTGTTAGATTTTTTTTGTGTGTGAATACACCTTTTACTCAGCTTCACATTTCCTTCTTTCCCTTTTTAACATACATAAATTTTCAAATATTCATACCTTAGCTTAAAGTAGCCACACTAACCATATATCCCTTTTCATACATATAGTGTATGTCTCTAAACTAGATGGAGAGAAATGCACACAAGAAACTCCTAAAGGTAACTGACTTTGGTAAATTGTTACCACTTTGAGTATTGTGAGTATTTTCCCCTGTCACTTTTTAATTATTTTATTGTAATATTAATACCTGAATGGGTTTATTTGCCTCATGGCAGTCCTAACATATCCTGGTTCAGTCATGTAGCACCTTGTAACTGTGTTATATTATTTTTGTCATACTGTACGTGACATTGGAATGTAGTAGCTTTAGTCAAATGGGATCCTAACAATCCATTATCATCTACTAGGTACAAACCTTCACACCTATGCATCCCGGCCTTGGACAGGTCAGTTCCTAAATTCATATACACTTTGATTAATCTGTTGCTTCAGTTCTTTGACAATCTTTCCCCCAATCGACAGGACTACCACCCATTGAAGAAGCTGACACTCAAGGTAGGGAATCACGAACACACAGTACCAAAATTAGGAAGCAGAGCACATACATATGAAATTGTGTGACCTTGTGTTAACAGTCTTTGTGTACATTTTTCACATGACAGAAGAGATTCTGCTGGATGGAAATGCTGGCAACTGCTATACTGGTAAACACACTACTAGAACAATCATACAAGCTAAGGGAGAGGTTGCTTTTAGGGTAAATATTTGCTGACCGATTGATTTCCACTGAAGACTCAATCAGAAAATTTTTCCATTGGTGGAAGTACTTTGATTTGGAAGTAAAAGCAATACAGAGTATAAATACTCTGTTACGCACAAGAGTCCTGCAAGTTTTACTTAAATGTGACCAAGCAATACTCGGATACCTAACTGGAACTAGAGACTGCTACAGCTAAAATAAATACATTTTCTTTACAATCCATTAAAATGAAAGTGACCCCTCTCGTCAGATTAAAAAGCTGTGAGGAGGCTTCACCAGTAGGCTTTACAGCATGTCACAGACAGGGGAATGCAGTAAACAATTACAACAAGTAGAGGACTCTAAAATAAATAATGTTGAGCTAGACTCAGCCCTCAGGCAAGTTGGTGCCAAAGAGAGACATTTGTCACAAAATGCCATCTCAAAGCCCCCCCCCCCCCCCCCCCCACCCCCCACGACATGA